TACAAAAACCAAACCAAAATATTTAGCAAGTTATTTCCAGTCTGCTGAAAGATTAATATAATGTAAAAAAAACAAAACATTTGCACATGGCTGCAGGTGACAAACGCACTCTTTGTCATAGCTTGTAGACAAAGACGTGTTGGTGCCCGTCTTGGTAAGGACTGGAAGTGTGGATTTGATCAGGAATTATGCAGTTGCCACAGACGGGAAGTGAATGCAGCTCTGATGAAACACAGAAACAGAACAGTAGGGCAATGGGCACCAAATATCTAAACGCTGAGACACCGCGAGGTTGCTTTTTGCACAATCATCAGATCAGATTCACTTAAGCACTGTACTCAGGTCAGCTGATTCTGATTTACGATTGTACAGATTATTGTTTTATTTTGATCCAAAGGTATCTGCCCAAAGTAATGGTTATGGTTGAAGTTTGTGTGTGTGGAACAGGTAGTGTACCAGAGTGGCTAATTCTCTACTGTCAACATTTTAAAGGAATGAAATGCCCCTTAATTGCCTTTATGGCCATAAACATCTGTTTCTGACCAATCAGAGCTTAGAAATATTAAAAACTGGGGATGTCATCGTCTTACAAAGCTAGATATCACTCTAGCTATTTCATGAAAAACAGTGATAGAATAATTGAATAACAACAGATGTCATTAACTGCCCTGTGAAAGTTTTTCATGAACATGTGGAAGTTTGAATTTGATGGTAACGTTCTTGAAAATACCCTCCCAAACAAAATCAGCTATTGGGGCGCTGATGGCCTAGTGGTTTGGTTGCACACATGTAGAGGCTATAGTCCTCCAAGCGGGCTGCCCGGGTTTAAATCCAACATGTGGCTCCTTTCCCCCATGTCATTCCCCACTCTTTGTCTATCCCTGACTCAATCCTCCTTCCTATAAATAAAAGGCTGGATGTCAGCATGACCTCAATGACTGGATGAATAACTAACTGAATGAATATCAGGCTGACGTTTTACGTCTTTACTAACCAATTTTGGAATCAAACAGGTGACATTCAACTGACATGGCTAGCATCTTAAATCCACAATGATGTTTTTCTGTAGTTAGACTTCAAACAACCTGGTCAGATGCATCAATCTCACTATTTCAATTTGTCTAGTCTATGTTTTTTTATGACGTAGTTAACTAGATTTGCAGGATGACAGCTTCATGACTCCAACCATTCAATGTCTTATTGTTTTGGCTTAATCACAGAACATACTACAGATGTTCAGCGTTGATTGAAATGTAGGCAGCAAGTTGAAAATATCTAATTGGGTTTTAAAGCATTCACACATTCACAACATCAGCTACACAAAACCCCTAACTGGGCATGTGGCATTTATTCATTTCTCTCTTAATTCTGTCCTTTCAAATTTTGTTATTTGGAATAAAACAGGCTTTTTGTTCAAGAGATGCCCAAGTATTATCAAACTTCTATCACTGTCTTGACACACGTTTTTGCTGATGAAAAGTCATTGTTATTTTTTGCTTCACCTTGTGTTTTTAGAAAAACATGTTTTGCTGTAAAAGGCTAATCAAAAGCTTAGCAGAGCGGGAGGTAGCAGTTAAACTGAGTCCTGTGGTGACTGTGGTGCAAAGTCAATGCAGAGTCAGTAAAATATCCACTATGCATGTCTGACAGTCTTGGAGAACTGTCTGTAGAGCACTTTGCCCTTTTAACATTGGCTGTCGGTCGGCATGGTTCCCGAGATTTATCTCTGGACCTTCCACATTACATTACCAATTCCAAGGAGCCATTTGGGTGGCATGGCTGGTATGGCTAGATCTCTGCTTTTGATTATTTACGCAGTGAGATAATTCCTGGCACTTAACTATTTCCTGAAAACAAACTCCATTCCTGTTTTTCTCTCTCTACCACTCCACCACTTCCAGGACTCTGCAATGGTTCCTCTGAACAAGTGTAGCATTAGTCTCTTCTTAGTCAGACAGAAAAAAAACAGCCACAGAAGCCTGAGCATGGCCTGGCTGAAAGGAATCTTCACTGAAAACACAACAAGTACGCCAAAATCCCATGGCGAGTTTGCCAGGTCTTTACACATGACAGCCCATCCACATAGTTCTTGGTTATTGCTTCTGTGATGTGACAACTTGTTTACACAGGAGTTATGAATACTGCTCAATACTATGAATATAACATTGAAAACAGTGACAAATTAAGTTGTCAAATATATGCTTATTGCAGTTTTTCACTCAGAAATGTCCCCATGGTGACCTTGACAGCAGAGATGATTCTACAATTCACTTAGCAAATGATTTTATCCAAAGCGGCGTACATCAGAGAGCAAGTACAACACAAGCAAGGATCTGATCGGAGTGATCGGACACAAGCGCTGACAGGAAGTGCAAAGAGGCGGAGCACAACATCGACAGCTGTTCTTGAGAGCTCTAAAAGAGCTGGGTCTTTAACTTTTTCTTAAAGGTGCCAAGGGACTCTGCAGATCTGCAGATGATGTATACTAAACTCTGAAGGGTAGGAGTTATTTGCCAAAGTATAGAGTTGAAAACAAATTAATTAGCTGCCAACAACTTAATAACAATTTATCTTTTCATTTTGTATCATTATTTACCATTATTTACATGCCTGCTTTTTTTCCCTCACACATCAGGATCATCTGGATGAAATACCGTAAACATGTTGGACTGCTGTGATCAAGGTTCAAAGTATCATTACGAAATCTCTAGGGAATCTGTTTTCAGTGCTAATCGATTAACAAGCTACTGAAAAGACAACAGATTAGGGCTGGGCGATATATCGAGTTTTTAAGATATATCGATATATTTTCAATCCAGATATAGGGTAGGACAATATCATCAATATCGATATAGTTCATGTTGCATTAAAATAACTTTATATGTTTCTTCTGTGGAGCTGCCAGTTCACCTATTTCTCATCTCACTGTCTCTCCCTCTTCACCCTGCTCCTCTCTCTCTCTCTCTCTCTGAGCCAAACTCAGCAAACTAAATGGATAACAAAACACAGAACTGTGTTTATTTTGTTATGCAGAAAATTAATTAATTTCACAAACAGGTAGTTTGTTTTCATGTACATGTTGAACTTGTGCAACTGACTGTTAATAAAAGGCATATCAATATATATCGAGTATCGCCATTCAGTGAAAAAATATCAAGATATGAGTTTTGGTCCATATCGCCCAGCCCTACAACAGATAGTGAAAAACCTAGGTAATGTTAATTAGGACGTGGAGAATGCTAGCCATAGCTGCTGTCTGGTATCCAATTGGTCATCAAATATGTTGTTTAACTCTAACATATGGTCCGTCCAGATTTCTCCCTTCCTATTAATTCACTGCTTAAGAGTGAAGCTATAAATATGGTTTTGTAGATGGCCTACTTTGATGACTTGCAACCTGTAAAAAAATACACACACACACACACACACACACACACACACACACACACACACACACACACACACACACACACACACACACCACACACATTTGTATACAATAAAGTGACTCTTGCCACATCTTAGCAGTTTGGCTTCAAGTGCATTATGTCTATGGGATGACTGAGAAGATTTATCTTGCCTCGCTTGTATTTCTACCGAAGAGCAAAACAAATTCCATCTGTTGGCTTTAGTTCAAATAAAATTGCATTTCAGTAGAGCTATTGACAATGCTTATTTATGGACTTTAAATTTAAAAACATACAACAAGCTGATAGGAGATTCATATTCACTTCTCTATAATCCCCCAACCCCCTGGAATCTTCTTTGTACTTGTGTACAATCTGCTCTTTCCACCCCTGGTATAACTTTAATGTCCTCTGACATTAAACTATCAATGTAAACCCAGAGGTCTGAAAAACTGAAATGGATATTTGCTCAGGTTGCATGATATAATAATCATTTCAGTTTTTTGTGTTTTTAATGTTAAGTTTATCGTTGTGTTGTTACTTTGTTGTTTTTATCTCTGCTCTGTAAGGTGACCTTGAGAGTTTTGAAAGGCGTCTTTAAATAAGATGTATTATTATTATTATTATTATTATTATTATATCCATGTTTTAGAACAAACCACGTATCCAACACAATGTCAGGCCATTTAAACACTTGTTTTCTAGCGCAATATACAAATAGGTCTAATTAAATGTGCTCTAAAGACTCTTACAGTGGTCAAGATTTGTGGGGGGAGGACTAAGGGCTTTTTTTGGATCAGTGATGTCAAAGTAATGCATTTTATTACAATGTTAAAATGTAGAACCACTTTATGGGAGAAGTGGTATTTTCCCAGGGTGATTTAATGGCCTCGTTTTTGTGGTTTGTAACTTCACATAAACGTTATAAATGTTTGGCTTCACTGCATTGTGACGCTCTGCAAATAACACACAATACATTCCCTGAAAGATGCTGTCAAAAATCACAACACCTGGGGGTCTGCTTAGTGAAGCTTTGATGCCTGAGGCAGGACACTGTGCAGCTTGAGGGCAACATCAGCATCTGCTTTGAGTACATTGTGAAAACTAACGAGATACAATTTGATGTGGTTTGTGTGGGAACAAAAATCACTAGGGAGTAAGCCGGGAAAAAGATGTAACAAAAACCTGATGTGATCAGGACTAGTTCTAATTGAAACCGATAACTTCCTCACCACTGCACACAGGACATACATCTTGCTGCACCATAGCAGACACAATTGCTGTTTCTTGGTATGGTATTAAAGTAAGTTAAAATCCTTCTGTTTTATATTGACAGTTCATTTCGGCCACTGCATGTTTATGAACTGTCCCAGCGTGTCCTGCCTGTCATCATTCTTAAACACATAAGCCTACCACTGGAGCTGTTTTGACATGCATAGGTGTTATGATAAGATTGGTAGAGCAACTAAGTCTATGCCCTCATGAGAAATACTGTTCGTTTAGAGCCAATATAGTTAGGCTACTAGATATTTTTGCATTCCTGAAGGTTAGGTTAGAAAAAACTATGTAAAACTGTTAAGAAATTCAACTTACCCACAATGATAGCAAAAGAAAATGCAACATCAACAGGTTTATGATGAAGCCATGGCAGATGACTCGTCCTGCTCCGTTCCCTCTTCTCTGCAACTACAATGTCCGTGGAGGGAAAAGATAGAAGAGAAACTGCAGAGAAGCCACTATAAACACACTCAAAGCATAACAGCATAAACAAGTGTGGTTAAAAGTCGATGCCTCCCTGACCCAGTGCGGACTTTAGTGCTGCTACGAGCGGCTTCGCACACTGCTGCTGCTGAACCTGAGCGAGCGCTTCACAAGGCACGCGCATGCGCACAGGCAATGAGTCTTGAAACTGAAAAGTAGGGCACAGAATGAGAACCATTAAATGTGAGACGCCTTTTGCGCTGTTGTGCAGTTTTTCTAACCTGCCATGTCGAACTTTTTTGTTAGCCTTTTTGTCAGATAAACCTAGGTCATTTTAAAGACTTCCTTTTGACCGGCCCGTCAGCTAGCAGGTGCATTTTTTTTTAGCAGGACTTCAAACATAGTTCCGGTCAACAGTTCAACTCGCTCACTGTTCATATCAAGGCGCTTACTGATAGAGCGTGAAACAAGCCTAATAAAATATTTGAAACGTGTTTTTAATTACCTTGGAAAGTTTCCAACTTTTAAACAGGGCCATACCTAGGATTTAAATAGGCTATTATTGAGGTCATGAGATAAAGTTCTCACCCCCAGCACACTTTTGTTTAAGCACAACTTTCTTGTATGGAGCACCTCTTGTCATAATCATTCAGTTCATCAGCATGCATGTCCAAAGTGACCTAAAAACAACCTTTTGAAAATGTTTTCAAATAATAAATGTGAGACTATGACTGACTTTAAGTAAGTATGACAGGTATGGGCGTCTCTTAAATTACACAGAATGCCAACGTCAATGGTTGCTGCTCATTAATATAAAACTATTTATAGTCAACTTTGCCAGAACTCTTTTTCATGAGCCACTGGTAGGCCAGGCCTTCGACTGTAATGTCATTGGGATTTTATGAGACTTTTATTGTGCTCTTATTTGATTTGTTAACATTGCTGTTTCCTGCTCAGCATCCGTGTTTAAATCAGAATATATCTGATAAGACGCAGCTACAAGGAAGACACAAATTGTAAAACTGCTATGTGGCCTAAGACAGTGCAACTGTAGGCTTATCTGTTACACTAGCTACTGTTAACATCACAAAGTACATATTTCTGTTTGTGGGTTGAACAACAAGCTACAGGTGTCATCTTTTGTTGTTGTGGCTAATGCCTTGTGTGCTGTATGTCATTTTAGAGTAGTCCACTGTTACCAGGTTAATGAGAGGAACCTTTAACAATCATCATTTATGTGGCCCTATGGTATATTTGTGAAAAGTGATGAAAGAAGTTAAGATTGGGATTTGCATCATGAGATCAGGAAACTGAGGTCTGAGACAATCGGTCAGACATGAGGTCGTTTACAATGAATACGTCCTTCATGGTCTAAACATTCATTAACAAATGAGTCAATATCTGGTTTTGAGAGAACTGTCCATTCTTTTGTTCTTCTTCTGTCTTTACATATTATTTTTTTTCACTCATCACTGATTCAGTGTGAATAATTGACTTGAGTATACTTTATTTCCTGTAGCTGTTGAATCAAGGGGTTGGAAAGTTAGTACCGGTAGTTTGTGCTGTAATATTAAATGGCTAAGATTAAACTCTCATTCGATTTAATTCAATGTTTTTTTTCCTTCTGACAGGAAAATCATTGACAACTTGCACCTTGAGTCACGTTGTGGTCACTCCAATTTCCTCCATTTTATTGAACTATAAACTCTTATCGATGTTAACACACCAAAAGAATTTATCAATATCTTTCTGACTGTGTTTGTTTGTGTGAAGGGAGTTTGAGGATCCATATTTCAGGATTTATATCAACAAATCTGGAAATTACAAATGTATGGATGAATTAGTGAAAGGGATTAAACATTAGCTGACAGCGTACGAGTGTGAATTCGAGTGAACTGTTGTGTTCCCAGGAATAAGCCACAGCTGGGAAACAGTTGGTGATGACAGCATGGAGTTCATTACCCTTCACTGGACCACACACTGATATCAGACTAAGGAAGTTGTTTTAGGATATTCAAAATAACCAGACATTTTAAAAACTATCCCAAACTTTACAATCTGATACCAACAATACGGCACCAAAATCCTCTCAGATGTCATGAATGTCATAAAATTAGAAAGGTATTTGAATTGTTGCACATTGAACCCATGAGATCAGTGAAAGACGAAACGGGAGATAAATCTGTCTTTTTTCCGCTGAGAAAGAAAATGAATATATAAAAGCAGGTCAAGCCACTTAGGAGATTAAAATTGTAAGCAGTCATCCAGCAGCCACGGATATTCTGAATAAGCTAATGTGTCATATTGAAAATGAGACATGTGCAGACAGGAAGTGGACTTCATTCCTCTCCTATTTCCAAACACGTTTTAAAAGCTTAATCAGGACATTTCGTAACATTTGAGCAGTATTGTAAGAGCTTGTGAGATACAGACACTGACATTTAAGGCCTACACCCACTTTGCATGTGTTCTGCAATAGTATGGATGCTTTTATGGGGAAGCTGAAGTATGATGGTACATCTCAGAAAAACAAGAAGCACTTGGAGCATCTTTGCACTGTCCTTGACTTTGTTATCTTGGTTCTGTTTTAATTGGATGGCACCGGAAACAAATATTTGAGTAGGAATTTTTATTTGACCAGTACCAGTGGCTAAAATTAGTTGCAATAAGTCAAAGCGAAACCCAACTCTCTTGATTTGTTATTTCCTGTCCAATTTTTTGATGAATGTGAAATACTTAAACCCTAACTGTTTTCTCTATAATTTTCTCCCGAATTTCCCTTCTGGGGATCAATAAAGTATTATCCTAAGTTCCAAGTGTGTCAATGGCTTTTCCCACATGCTCTTACAGTCCCAGAAAATGCCCTTCGGCTTTATTTCACTGAGAAATGGAATGTTTTTACAACCTAGTTAGCATCTGGTTCTTCCAGGTTGCCCATTGCTGTCACTTCAACTGCATACCCAAGTATCTAACTGCCTAATGTCAGACAAGCCGTGTGGGAATATATGTGTATTGTGTCCAGCACGTAATACATTTGCATGTTTGGGAGAGTACTCTGAAACAGGATGTTATGATTTCCCTCATGTCTTGTCAAAGAGGTTCGTGTCTCTGTGTGTATTTTGTTCATTCAGTTGAATACACAAATGATGACAAGTGTCTTGCAGTGATGGCTTTACACACTGTTGTGAAGATTTTCAAATCTGAAATGAATTGTAATTAAAGGCAATGCTGTTTAATTGCTCATCATGGAGGAAAATTACAAAAATAGAAATGCAATACAAATTTAATCTAATTAGTTCCATAACTGGCTGAAAATAAATTTAAAATAGGAGAACTTCGGATGTTTAAAACATCAAGTGTGACAGCAAAGGAAACAGAAGCCTCCATTAATAACCTTTAATCCAAAGATTTGATGTAAAATCCAGAGCAGGTGGTTCTATTGTGTATAATACAGCTATGTTATAAACTAAGAGACAATAACACCAACTTTGATCTAGTATAAATGATTTGACATGTACTTTTATTATGAAATAAAAAAAGAGTATTCTGAAATCAGAGTTTGTGTTTCACAATGATTTCCTGCCAAAACTGAGCTGGAAAAAAACAGACTATAGAAAGGGGTCAAGTCTTGTGATGTGAGGCCATGTGTTACTTCATGATCCAGCCTGCAGGATCCCAGCAGAGGAGAAATTATGTCATGAGTTACGCACTAATGCGCCTGTTATGGCCACTGAGGACATGATCATTAACGTTCATTAGCTCAGCTACATCCAGATACTACAGTACAGTCATACTTTAATTCCCTTCTCTATGCCAGTGTCTTAATCCAATTCAATCTTTTTCCGTTAAAGTGAGACTTTGTGATTTATGAAGTTGGAATGAAAATAAATTAAAGTCCTCCACTGTCCTAAAATAAGACATGTACAGCCTTGCTGCTAACAGTCTTACCTAGTCTGACCAAAAGCTAATGTTAGCTGACTTTATGTTGATATTGTGTTGTGAGTATAAGCGTGTCAGTATAGTGCTGTTGTGATGACTCGTCTGTATTTGTACTCCCTCTTAAAGATGATCAACGTCTACTTTCTTGTCCCTGAGGGGAAATTTTTGTAGTGGCAGAAGAATCAAATACACAGGACGTGATGTTTAAGAAATCCTTTGTGCCAATAGGTGGGGAGTAACCTGACCGTGGATTCCAAGCTCCTTCAGCAGTCTGATGATAGACGACGCAACAAATCCTCTGCATCCCACTTCAACCGGATAGACTTTGGTCTTCCAGCCACGCTGCATTGCTTCTGCTACAAGAAGAAAAAAAATTAGTTGACGGCCGATGTCCGCCAGCATCCTTCAGTCACGGGCCCTGCAAAGGTGTCCTTCTTCTGATCTGGTGAAGGGTGTTTTCTGTCCTTCTCGGACAAAGGTTGTTGCCCTTAGGGGGGGGTTGCTTGCTCTCGGAGGCAAGGAGTTGGTAGCACACCGCCTGTTCTCAAGGGCTAATGCCAGGCTTTTTAGTTCCTGATTATGCCGCCAGGTGTATCTCCCTTGCGTGAGGCTGGTCTTGCAGCCTACCATGATGTGTTTGAGGGTCGCTGGAGTTGGGCAGAGGGCACAGGTTGGATCCTCGCCGTACCACTGATGGAGGTTCTTTGGTGATGGAAGCACATCATATGTCGCTCTGATGATGAAGCTGATCTTGCTTGCTTCCATTTCCCATAAATCTTTCCAGCTGATCTTCCTCTGCTCCACACCTTCCCACTGCATCCATTGCCCCTGTTTGGCAAGAGAGACCGCCTTTGCACTTCTTGCGGCCTCCTCCTGTCACCGCACCTCCTCGACCACCAACGCCCTCCGCTCTGATGTTGTGGCCTTTCGCCAAGTTGGTTTACTTGTCGTAAGGCCAAAGCCTCCTCTTCCTTGCTGGACTTGCCCCACGATGTCTTTGTGCCTCAGCGCTGATGAAGCTTGCTGTAATGCATCAGATGGTGTCCACTTCTGGCCAGTTACCAGGGTCGGTGCAGCAGCGCTTATGGTCTTGTCTCTTGAGAGTATTCTTGTATTCCTCTGTTAGACTAGTAAGAGGTAGTTCCAGGACCCCTTTGCCGTAGAGGCCGATGTTAGATAGACATTGCGGGACACCGAGCCATTTCTTCACATATGAAGTAATGGTTCGCTCCATCTTCTCCATAGTTGTTATTGGGGCTTCATAAATGGTCAGTGGCCACATTGGTCGAGGAAGGAGTCCAAATTGTAGGCACCAGAGCTTCAGTTTCCCAGGCAGTAGGGTCTGATTGATGTTCTCCATTGACAGTTTCTTGCCTTAGTTGTTGCACCTGCTCTTTGTCCTTGAGACTTGCATTGTACCATCTGCCCAGGCTTTTAACTGGTTGCTCAGACACTGTCTCTAAGCACCCCCTTGACTATGGAGATGCTTCGAGATTTACTTGGTTTGATTCTCATTCGGGCCCACTTGATGTTCTCCTGCAGCTTTCCAAGTAGCCGCTTGGTGCATGCTGCAGTAGTGGTTAGTGTTGTCATGTCATCCATGTATGCCCTGATGGGTGGCAGCCGGAGCCCATCCCTGGATCGTTCACCGCCCACCACCCATCTCGTGGCCCTGATGATGACTTCCATGGCCATTGTAAAAGCCAAGGGTGAGACTGTGCAGCCTGCCATGATGCCTACTTCCAAGCACTGCCATTTTGTGCTGAAGTCAGCTGTTGTGACGCACAGCTGCAGGTCTTTGAAATAGCTCTTGACCAGTGTGGTGATGAGCTCTGGTACATGGAAAAAGGCAAAAGATTCCCAAAGGAGTTAATAGGGAACTGAACCAAACGCATTGGCCAGATCGAGGAAGATTACATGTAGGTCTCTCTTGTCCTTCTTAGCTGCTTGGATCTGGTGCCAGATCATGCTTGTATGCTCCAAGCAGCCCAAAAAGCCTGGTATTCCTGCTTTCTGTACAGATGTATCAATGTACTTGTTTTTTTTACCAGATAGGTGGACAGCCTTTGTGATACAATGCTAAAAAAGATTTTTCCCTCGACATTGAGGGGAAATTTTTGTAGTGGCAGATTAACATTGAGACATATAGAAAACACAGGTAGACTGAGCTACAGAAAACATTTAAACATAAATAAGATAATGCATCAAGTAACAGTAGAGTACTGAGAGTATGTAAGTCCATCCAAGTCTCGACACTTTATCTTATCTGTGTGTCTTCATTATCACATTCAGTTTTAGTTTTTAATTTCCTTGCGCAATCTCTTTATGAAAAGTGTGATAAAAGAAACATTTATTTTTTTGTTTTTTGATTGTTTGACCACATCGTCACTTTAACAAAAGCTCTCATAACTAAAGCCTGCGTTTTTGTGTGACTTTAAAAAGGGAGAGTGTGAGGAGGAAGAAAGACAAGAAAAACATCAGGGATTCACCGATTAGCATGTGCTAAAAATCCATGCACTCATAAGGTCCATGTTGTCATACTGGAAAAATACTTACTGAAACATCTACAAAGGCCTAATATTCACTACTTTACAGAGTGTAAAAGAACTGATATAATTCAACTGTTTTAATAATCAAACGGGCCAAATAACATAGTGTGGTTGTATTTGTTCAGCTTGTGAACAGAGACATCCAGGTGTTACTATCCAAATGTGTTCCTTTAATTCATTGTCGTAGTAAACCTTCTGATAACTGTAACATACTCAATCTTCTACTTGCTTCAGACCTGCAATCAGCTCACACATTACTGCAGAGATTAAAGATGTGAGGCTATGTGTGTGTGTGTGTGTGTGTGTGGTGGGGCATTGTGCACTAAAGAGGTGTGTGTCAGTGTTTGTTCAGCAGTGCGTGGATGTTCTGGAGCGGAGGTTGGCATTTCACAACTTGGAAGGATGTCTGGAGATTGATGCAGAGAGAAGTGAAAGAGAACCTTTTTCTGTGCTGTTCGTTTATTTCTGCAGCCACAGGAAACTGTGCTTTTTGGTTCTTCTATTTGAAAGCACACTAACTCGGTCAAAGCGTGTGTGTCCTTACATCAACCTTTCCAGGAAACAGGACAAAGACTGCAGTACTGAGGTGTCATTTAAGGAATAATAACAAACCAAAGAATTACAAAGAAAAAAAAATGTATGCCAGTAATAAAGATTTATTCTATTCTAATTTGATGACCAACATTTACACTCTTGCCTGGTGACAGGCTCAGTTTCATTATTATTTTCTTTCTTGTCAACTTCAACTTTTTTTTTCCAATAAATGAAAGTGAAGTTTATTTATTGTCTCTTCCTTTAATTTGGCATCACAGCTTTTGAAGAAACATAATACAGATAGAAAACTGTCTGATTAAACATGCCTGTTGTTGTTCCCTGTACTGATTGTCCCTTGTGCTCCCAGGTTATTGCTGAACATGGTGCATGGTGCCGTTTTGTGCCTCTCAGTAAGAAATGTGTGCTTTGTCATTAGTTGGTCTTTATTTGATTATTTGTTAGCTTAATAAATCTTATAGATTTGGTGTTTTTAGAGTTTTTGCTGGGTCAGTTGGGATGTTCAATTTAGCATGAATTGGTTACATTAGTGTTTGTTCAGTAAAACTTGTATTGGTTTCCAGTAAATGTAAGGGTGCATTGCTCTGGTTAAAACAGGGTTCCTTTAAATTAGGAAGTGAAGTACTGGTTGAGGTTAAAGTTTAGTTTTTAATCTTAAAGTTGATGACATAAACAGACATTGAGCTTGGTTAATTTGCAACCACAGTTCTTGACTCAATAAAAAAACTCAACAGCATCAACATAGCTAGAGCCAGATCACATCTGTTTACATCACATCACTATGAATGGCACTGACCATTCAGAGAGAAATACATTTTTATAGGATTTGTGTATTTCTAAAGGTTTTAAATAAAAACACTTTATTAGCAAATATTGTAGAGCTAAGAGTCACACCTCTAACATTTCAGGAGTTTGGTGTTAATGGGTGACTCTGGAGCTACTTTACCCTAACTCAGTGGTTCCCAAAGTGGGGGTCGTGGGACTCCTTTAAAAAAAAAAAAAAAACTTCTAACAATTATTTTACCCATTATTGTGAAAATGTATCCAAAAAGTAGTTTAAGAGATGACTTGCTCTGCTTCTAGCTTTTCTTACAACAAATTACAAAAAGCATATTCAGGTGTTTGGGATGTTGTGTGATGTTCCAATACAATGGCGTGTTTGGATAGGCTTGATGGTGTGTTCGCAACGTTTCATGTTTTTACCACCTCCAGGAACAATGGGGGTCTCCAGTCTCTAACATAATATATTGGGGGTCGTGGGCTGAAAAGTTTGGAAACCCCTTTCCTAACTTATCTGTTCACTATCGGAGCATTGTTGTGCCTTCACATTCTTGTTACAAAGTGTCACATTTAGAGTTCAGTGTATAAAGAGCTGTTTCAAACATGCTGATACAAATTTCTTCCTTTCCAATGAAATCCATTCACCCTCCATGAAACACTTCAGATTGAGAAAGGAGACAACGAGACAATCTTCCTTTTATAGGAAAATTTTAATAGTTATTCAATGTTCTACATTTTACAGTAAATATACAATTACAAACTTGGCTTAGTTATAGTACTAAGATCACTAACTGATCTTTAAAAAAAAACCCTCAACAACAACAAAAGAAATAAAACATAAAAAAAACCTAAATTAAAAACAGATTTACACTTCATATCACAAGCCTGACGCTGGTCCTTCACTCTGGACCAAATAGCTAACATACAATTCACTTCTCTCAACGCTGAACAGACGTTGGGCTTCTGTTTCAAACACAACCTTACGGTAACAGATATACCATAGCATGTGCAAACTGGGTACCAAGCTAAAACTTCCAAAGGATTGGGGTTGTTCCGAATACTCGATCCATGGGGGGGAATGGGATACGAGTATGCTTTTTTTGGAAGACAAGGAATTTCCACTTTTTGCATCACATTTAGTGTCAAATTAAACTAAGAGATATCTGACAAATTGAAATTAAAAAGCTGCAGCAGAACATCAAAGACATTTAAGAGCCTACTATTCACTGGGATAGTAGTATTTTTAATTTATACTCGTGAAAGAAAGTAAGACTTTGTAACTGCAAGGCAAAACAGGAAGTGGAAAGACGGAAAGAGAGAGGGGAGGAGTGATGAATCGTTCTGGTTGCTTTTCACTGATCAAGTGAAAACCTATTTAAAATACAGCGTCAAAGAAACAGAGTAATGCTCATTAAAATAACCATCCTTCAATGTGACAGAGGATAGCACGATGGAAAATGAAAGTGATGATAAAAGACCCATGATTTAAGATGACTTTGCATTTACCGATCCGAACACATTGAAGTGTTCCTTATACTTTAAGTGCAAATTGAAATAAATGAGGCGAGGAATGTGAAATGAGGAAGCTGTTTCACCGTACTGAAAAACAGATGAGTGTTTTCTCACACAATCCTCATATCTCAGTGGTTCTGCCTCCGTACTGACCCCCGTTTTTTTAAGTTTTTAAGAGCATTGGTCCTCGGCCGGGAGATAAAAATTCCCTATTATTAATGCTTCTCATGAAATGTCCTTTTTTTTTTTTTTTAAGAACACATTTTTGTTGTCGTCTAAAATGTCCTGAAATCAGACATTCAATTTGAAAAGACCACCAATCTAAAATATGTCAGTGTCAAAATCTGACACCCTATTATGATTCTCAAATGGAAAAAGACCTCGCTTAACTATGAATTTATCATTACGCTCACATTAAAACATCAGTGAAGCTCACTGGCGACATCTAGTGTTCAAAAGGCTTCATAGAGTTTTCATTAATGGAAAAAACTTAACGTTTTATCCATTACTGACACCAACTCGCTTAGTTCTCAGGGTGGTGAGGCGGGTTGCAAAGGTTGGAATGAAAGCAACTAAAGGCCAAAGTATATGAAAGTATGGAAGCACAGAAAAGGATTAACATGGATATGCATTGTCCTGCATCATTGCAAGGGTTCAAATTATAATGTTTGGATTGGAAATGGGGGATGCAAAATGGCCTCTGAGGGGAAGTTTGAAAATAGGAGAAACACAGAGGATAGAGTAAGAAAGATACAAACTGAGACAGGAAATATGCATCAACAACAAAGTGAGAAATAGGACAGCAATAGGAAAACACAGAATCACAGGAAGCTAGACGTAACAAGGACTCAGAAATCACCAGTTACTTAGGAGAATAAAACTCAGATTTCGCAAACTGCTGTTGGTGAAATATGGCACAGAATAAAAGGACGTGGTAGGGAGGGTTCTCAGGACATCTTTCAGTAACACCTACAGAAAAGGAATGGACCGCAAAGATGTTTCCCGATATAGCATGGGAACCTTTTTTTCAGTCGAACAACAAACAAAAAGGAAAAGAAAGAAAAAGCTATCCATTTCAGTTCTGTCATTAATCCTCTGTTTCCTCAATATCTTTAAACTCAGGCAACATTGATAAAAAAGTGGGAATTTGGTGAAGAGAATTTTAACAAAATCTTGTACTTATTTCCAAGACTTGGGTCATAAATTCTCCATCAGTGACACAAACACAGAGGACAGAGGCGCAGAGAAGAAGGTCAAAGAAAATATTAAAAGCACAAACAGTAGCTGCCACACTGATGCAACCATGCTTAGCTAGAAATACATTACTGTACCACTTGCTGTATAAATATACTGCATCTTTTTTTTTTTTCATTTTTTTTTTTTACTTAGAGATCCAATGCTATAGTGTAATACACCTGAATATTATGCATACCCATTATGCTTATTTGACCAGAGGGAAGGACAGGGGGGAAACAATACTGAAAGAAGTAGTGGTTGGTTAAATAAATCCTAATGACAAGTGACATCGCTGCTGTCGCAAGAAAACGGCTTCTGTATTTTTCCGTCTTTCAGCTTTTTAAATCTGAATGTACAAGATCCTTCCATCTTCTAAAATACAGGGATTGGTTTAAAAAATAAGCTCAAAGGGTGGTGGCTTTCATGCGACAGCAGCTTGATGTCATATTTTCTTGAAAATTGACCTACTTGTGTACAAACATCTGGACTAAGAATACCTCAAACACTCGACCTTATTGTTTTATTCTTAATTACAATATAAATTGCTTCTTCCTCCCACCAGCACTACAAAGCCTAGGTACCTGTTACTTAGCATTAAATTATAGTCACCAAGTTTTTTTATTTTTTCTGTCTTATGTTGTGCAATATTTCCTCACAAGGTTATTCAATACCCAAATTCTTGATATGTTCTAGTCTTCTTAGCAGTAAGTGTAATAATTATTGAGTGGAGGCTGCATACAGAGCCTGTAATCCATACTTAGAGATTACAACAATACATTTTTTTTTAAATCAAGTCAAAACGCTGATAAAATAATTACTGTATGTTAACAGTGGGAGGCATTCCCTCTTATTATTTTATTGCAATATCAAACCACGCCATCTACATACCTGCGCGGTAAATGCTTTTTGTTATACTGATCTGTCCTCTACAGATTCTTGAAGTCTTTTTTTTTTTGTGTGTAACTCCTGAAAAAATACCACAGGTCTCACCTAATTATTAAACCCCACCACCACTACTCAGCGTATGAAGATCTTCACACTGTGGCTGTGAAAGCCATTTGCATGTTCATAAATGCCTTTTTTTTTTTTTTCCAATATGTATAAGCATAAAAAGGCAACAGAAAATGGCTTCATATGGTCCATGTCTCATTGGCTTGAATATTCTCCTCCTCTTAAGACAGTTGTCATTTGATGGAGGATTATGCTGGATGTCTATTTTTTTTATTTTTTAAATGCAGTCAGTAAAAGCAGATATGTGTAATTCTGTGATGTTTGAAGAATAAAGCAGTGGATCGTTCTCCTTTTAGTTACTAGAGGTCAAGCTTTAACTTGTCCTCTGCCCTGAACTGAACCAGTTTAAAATGAAGAGACAGAGTGACACTGTCGTCTTGGCTCATTACTTTTGAAAATATTTCGGAATACTTTCACAGATTTATAATTAGAGCGCTCGCGTTTCAGCTTTTCAATTCACATGGGAATACCCAAGAAGTAACATTTTGACTTTAACATGACATGGACCTGCTGTAAAAACACCCCAGCCTCTGACTGGACTCTGTTTCACTCAACTGTGCTGCACAACAAGGCAGCCACATCAATGGCTTGCTCTTCTCAGCACTCACAGCGTAGTGGAATGGACAAGCGGATTGAATCCTATTCATCTATCAGCACATTTATTGACCGGTCCATCATCAAATGTTTACTCAAGAGTCTGGGTTTTGATCTGTTGGAGTGCTTGGTTATATTAAAGACAAGGAGGAGGAGGAGATGATATAATCACATTAGTGAGAAATCAATGTACAATACAAATAGTGCAACAAAAAAAAGCAGTGCGTCCGTGCAGTCTCTTGCAGGTGAGCTGTCACAAACTTAAATGTTTTGTACCTTGAAAAAAATGACTGACTGTGACTATATTAACTCCTCCTCCCTCACGGTCTGCTCTCCCTGTCTCCTCCTGCTCTGCTCTGCTCTCGTAGCGCTCAAACAATCCCTTTAAAGTCCTTCTTCACTGTCTGCCATGCAAACCCTTACAAATCCATGTGTGTGTGTGTGTGTGTGTTGATCAGTAACAACATAACTGGAATTTTGGTTCAGTAAGTGCCACTAAACAATGTTTCCCACCACACCACAGAAGCCTGTGTGTGTGTGTGTGTGCGTGTGGTTGTGTGTGTGCATGTGAGGTGGTGTACACGACCACCTAGTTATTATAAATACTTGCACATATTTGTCTTCACCTTTTCACCTACTCTAAGATTAAGATTTTGATAGTGTCACAACATACTAGCCTGCGTAGTATGTAGCATGAAGTACGTGGTGTTTTCTTAGGTGTGTCGTAGCTACGATGCTAATGTGGAAACACTGGGACACAGTAGGATGGGTAACGGTCGGTAAGTGTGCCCCGCTCAGAGCAATGTAGCACTCGTATGGAGACGAAACAGGCATGATTGACTGACTGCTGCCTGACGGACAGCTACTCGCTGGAAGACGGCCGAGATTAAACTGGAAATTAAAACAAAGTAGTTCAAAGAAAAAAAGAGGAACAAAAAGGTATGAAAATTAAAGGTGTGGTAAGAAGACAGATTATCAAAAAGAAATGAAGTAACTCCTAATGATGTTAAAACCCTGTGCTGATAACTAGTTGTAAGAAAATTTGGCAGCATAAGTCAATAAGTCTTTGTAGAGACCGATGGAGATGATAACAAGGGAATAAGTGCCTGAATATTTTCCAGCCAACTGAGCAGCAGCAGGAAGGACCACACACACCAGCACAACACAGAAACAGGAGGCAACTGACACCTGTGATTGGTCAAGAGTCCTTCTGGAGTTCCAATGATAGACGGAGCAAAGTAAAGTGAGGAAATAAAATGTGTAAAAAAAAAATAAAAAAAAAATTACAAAATAAGGTAATGACTGGTTGGCAAATGAATAGAGTAAAAAATAAAAAGCAGCTATTTAAAAAAAGAAAGGTAGAGAAAGTCGCATAATAATAATAATAACAATAATAGTAAAGTGGCTGTTGCACTTTAGTTTGTTCTTGCAGACAGGTGCCGAGTTCCCGTGGTTACCAGTGGGAGCCCGTGTAAGATTTGAGCAGTTGCATACGATGGTGGACTCCAGATCTGGTGGGAAAGAAGAGCAGAGGTACACATTGGTGATTGATTGAAGACAGACTGCGGGCCTCAAGAGGGAGAGAAATGTGAGACGGCACAGTTTGTTCTAATCCGAGAGACGACAGAGGAACAAAAAAGGGAATGAAAGGAGGGAGGGGTTGGGGGAGGGGCAGGCGGAGGAACCAGATGGAGGAGAGAAAATTGGGGTGGTTAGGAGCATCTCAAAGAGAAACAAATAAACAGCAGGAGGGCCCGACACTCACATGATGGGTGGGCTCTACCAGTGAGGCGGTACGTAGCTGTACCCAGGTGTCCCTTGGGGCCTGTAGGTTGGCACAGTAACTGGGTGACCTCCAATTTGGGGGTGCTGGGGCGTTGTCAGCAGGGTCCCTGAAGGAAGTTAACGACACAGTTAATGAGCTGCAGTCACTTGTGAATCCATCTGCTGAACAGATATAATGGCTTTGTCTGTCCTTTTTAACTGCTGTTTGATTAGATACAGATAAGAACCTGAAATCTCATGACGTCGATGAAATATCGGAATCAAAACAAAAGACAATTAACATTACACTATCACACATTTAGTTAAGATAAAGAAACAGGTCAGTAGAAGTGTAAGGAACTACCTCCAGCATAAATTAACAATGCACAATCACAGATAACAGTCAAGAGGAAATGATTGAGACATAGCTGTGTCTGATAACTACAGCTATTATTCTGGTCCCACCTGCACTCATGGCCATGGTTGTCCCAGCTACCATCCCCATAGCAGCCATGCCATTGTTGCGGGGAGCTTGTACGGGGACAGGGGCTGGGTAGAGGGCTGTGGAGGGGATGCTGTTAGGCTGCACCACCGTGGTGTGATGGATCACATGTGGCTGAGCCGCATACACGGGCTGGGTGTAGTACGCTCCCTGTTCAAATGTACACAGGAAGACAGATTGTGAAGCTGTGCGGTGCGTGTATGTAGGATATAAAATGATTATTTTAATTCTGAAAAGAAGGTTTAACTGCTCATGGTCAACTCCTAACTCAGACACTAAAGAAGATGTAAAACATTTAAAAGCTCAAAACTGCTTAGCAAGTAGCCTTCTTCCCCACTTTCCTGATCCTGCAGCTTTCCTATCAAAAGTCAAATTCATTATCCAAAAGCTGTATGGCAACAAATTCCAAGACATCCCAATTATTTCTGTATCACAGGTGCTTTGTCTGTAACTGTACCGCCATCAAAGCAGCTGTATATTTTAATTTGCCCAATCACCAGGGCTGTTTTGGACAAGTGCTGACTCACATGACCTCAAAGTTATTTTTTGAGAGTCACTTAACTGGATCTCATTTGTGACTGTTGAGTGATTTTTAGGAACAGATCATATTAAGTTAGCAACAACAACAACAACAACAACAAAAAAATCACTCTACTTTGATTAATAGAATTTGACATACTCCATATTCAATTGATAACATTTAAAAGGCATTTAGCAGATCTGACTGATCTGATCAATTTAGATAGACATTTTTATTTTATTATGAATACAGCACAGGCTCTGCACCAAAGCTATATCCCGACCACTAGAAGAGATAACATGTTATGTAAAGGGAAATAATAAATGTCTCTGCACTTCCCCTGAAATGAGCTTAAAGCTAAAATCTAAACTTTTGCTAAGATCATGCATAAATATGGCATGAAGTGTAATCAACAGGAAAGACAATTGGAGCAGATTTGACTGTTGTGATTCAGGTGCAAAACTACAGACGTGATCAACGACTGCAGACTGTGTCTCTACTTACCTGTGCGTATAGGTTCTGCTGAGGGTAGGCACTGCGGATGGGGTACATGGCTGTTGGGTATGGGGTGGGGGTTGGGGTGTAAGGAGGGGGCGCTCCATTGGACTGGGTGGGGGGCACTTTGTATGGGGTGCCTGCTGAGGTATATCCTAAAAATAGTCGGAAAAGAGGGAGGATTTAGAAAAACATTTCATTTAAGACAACACAGCACTACAGTCATTGATGCTTTTTTATTCTCTTAAGGCTGTAAAACACATTTTTGGCACAGGGGTAAACGGGTAATAAGTTATTTTAATATGATTTTTTTGGTGGTTTAAAAACTCAAGTTACGTTTACAGGCAAATTATTTCCAAAATTATAATATGTTGTCTTCACGATTCTTTTACAGTCTTCTGGTTCTCATTTCTCTTTGGTAATGTCATTGTTCATCTTTGTTTTATGCGGAATCTCAAACAGTTTTAAGATTTTACTATTCACACTGTCTCTATTTTTGCATAAAATACAGCAATACTTATTAAGCCTTAGTAGCTCCATATTTGTAAATACTTCAATACAATACTTTTGGGAAGCATTCATTTAGGTTACTTGTGTTTCAAATGTGTCGATCATATAGTTTTTAAGTATTTGTGAATAGACTTGTAATCCATTAACTGCTAATTCTTCCAGCAACCGATGCATTTTATTAGGCAGAACATCTGGACTACTCACCATCTATCTCATGTCATATTTAAACACTGAATTAATAAATCCTACAAATCAAAGTGTTTTCTACTTTCTATCTTTTATGTGATTCTGCATTGATTTTAACTCTAAGTGGGGAAGTTTTCCAATTGATATTGATACACGATTATTCATTAACCTTAAAACATATGATCACATGCATTCATCAAATTAAACACTTTGGAAAACAGTCAATAAATGAAAATAAAGTAAATATGTGTCTTTGAGGTAGTGGTGATGTGCTCTTGTGGCCAAAGTATAACAACAAACACTCCGAAACATCGCCCACACATGACAAAACCTACGCACAAAACGAGCATGCTGCATAGTAACTTTTTAATCTCCATAATCTTGTTTTCATGAACTTGGTAAGTCAAAACTGGAACTGAAATTGAAACTGGCTTAATTGCTCAGCCCTAGCTTCAAGTGAGTAGTGAAAGTTCAAAAGCCTCGGTGCAATGTCCCAACGCGTGCACACTAACAACTATGTGACCGCACACCTCATTAATAAGAAATATGATAGACATCTATTTCATTTACTCTCATTTATGAGAGTATTGATGTATTGATTTTAGATTTTCAAATCAGGAGATGTTCGTCATTTCTGTATTATAATTTTGTTTTGTTTAACACACTACAGGGTGTACCAACTATCACAGGTACTTTTTAATAACACTTGATGAACAAACTGTAACTTGCATGACCATCAGTCCAAAATGAAATAGAGAAACTTAGAAAAATGCATCCAGGAATTTTGGTTGGTTTCTACCAATACATGTTTGAGATCAAGTCTATCTACGCTTTCCCCTATTTGTTGCATCGTTTGCTTCTTCTTTTTAGTTTTTCACATTCTTCTAGCAGGTTTTTCAGATAGCAGTCGTCCTCTTAAGTGACCATTTCTAACCCGCGTCCTGTTTTCAATTGAGCAAGGCGTGCTGTCTTGCCCTGCTTCTTAAGTCTGTATGCTAAACGTTTGAAGGAATTTGGCCCAACTTTCTAAAATTTCTGTTCTGCACATGTGATTTATTTCTACACCTCTCAGAGCAAATTTCCGGCCTCTTTTATGTATTATCAAAGTTTTCTGCCGCCCTGTTTTAATGTCTCATTTTATGCATTTCCTACTAAATCCACCAGATGGGGGGCTGGGGCTGTCTCTCTCTCTCTCTCTTTTTTTTTTTTTTAAAGGGGCTCTAGTCAAAACAATCCAACCAAGGGTTGTGTGTCTGAGAAACATCAAGCCAGATCTTTAATGTTAGCATTTCTCATTTGTTTACTGCTTAAGAGAGTAGTTGTGAGGTAAACATATTCAGTATATTGTCCTATTTTTGTACCATGTACACTTATGCAGCCTTTCTACTTCAGTGCCAAATAAATGAACCCTTCATGCAGCATTTCAGTGTGGCCAAAGTTAAACTGACACTCCATCCAAAAAGCGTATAAAGCAGGAGGTTTACTAAAGGACAGTGAAGGCATCTGGTTGAGATCACTGATGAATGTCTGCTGCTCTTAGGGGTGCAGTACCACTAAGCGGCCACTAGGAGGAGCCTGAAGGTCAAACATGCTACAAGCTAGTTGCTGCAGCTGAGCTTATGAAAGCGCTTCTCTCACACAAGGACAAGGGAACAAAGAGATGCTGGAGAGGCCCGTCTGTGTGTCTAAAAGTGTGTGTGTGTGTGTGTGTGTGTGTGTGTGTGTGTGTGTGTGTGTGTGTGTGTGTGTGTGTGTGTGTGTGTGTGTGCATACTCTCACACACGTTCTTCACTCCAACATGGATGCAGAGCATTAGAGGACAATGGTGTGTGAAAATTACACAAAAGCCCTCCTGATAGAAAACAGTTTGACTATTCAATGATCTTGTGAAATAATGACATTGACCAAAGACACGTTTCTGATCAGACCACAGCTGCCTTGTGCCGAGGTCGACACGAATTCTTAAGAGTGCCATTTTCAACATACATTAAGCAGCAGAGAATGCAAAGAAAGAAATCGGCGGACGGACAATCACACTGCAGATATAAACAACAGCCTCAGTAATTAGGTTCAGGTCTTTTGTTGAAACAAAGCTGGGAGGGCTTTGCCAAAGCGTACCTGATATTTTGTTTGACTCTTCCAAAAGACAAAACCAAGCTGGGGGAGGGGACAAAAGGAGAGGGGCTTCAAAGGCAGCACAGATGAAATCAACAAACCCACCATGCCTTGGTAAGATACTTAAAATTCTGAAGTGTAGGAAACAATACCAATAACAATACAGTGTTGTTTCACATGACAATAGCTGGGTCAAAATACAATTTATTTTTTAAAGGTGATAATGCTGCCAGAATTAGCAGTTTATATGATTTTTTTTGACATTAGCTAATAATACACAAATAATCTGGACAAAAAGGACTTCTTTTTTTCCCCTCTACAGTTACCTTTTTAAGTTTATCGCCCAATCCTTAAATCTGGAACCACCTATAAATCATCTTTGAAGTCTTTAACTAAATTGCATGACTTAATAATCCTACTGATTTCATATCTAACTCACTGACTGATTGCAAAGTAACATCACTTCTTTTTTTCCATCTTGATTTCTTTCTTATACATTTGCTTTTTACCCTAAGGTAAGTTCAACAATGGCACGATTTTAACATTTTTCTTTTGGTTTGATCTTGTTGTTCTCACATCTCGCTTTTCAATATTGAGTCTGACAGAGTAAAGCCTCCTCCTTTGTGCTTTGCTACTGCTTCCTATTTATTGTTTCGTGTCAAAAAATCAAATTATGTTATGCATATGAAACAAGAAAGGGTTTTTGAAATTTTACTCATTTTGACGATTAAGCTCAACTCAACTGAGATGAACAAAGAACAAGCATCTTTTTTTTTTGCTCCCACGTTTTGACAACATTCCCGGTTCAAAAAGCAGTCCGGTTCATTAAAACAGGTTTGTTTTAATCTTCCTGGATTACCTCTTAATACCGGGATTCCTGTCCAAAGACAACGAGCCTGAGTGAGATCAAACTGGACTGTTTAAGGGTTCAAGACCCTGCTTCAGTAAACTATCTATATCTATACAGACAAACCATATCTGGGAGGAAGTGAGACAACTGTTATCCCCATCTGCTGCAGGGAGCAGACTGTGAACCCCAGCTGAGCTGCTGCAATAAGGCCACTGGCAGCTGTTACTGGCTGGCTTCCCATTCCTTCACCATCGATGCCTTTACGGCTGAGATCACCAATCAAGGCATACCGCCATCATATTTCTGCAACCTCTAAAGAGTTCTATATAACTATGTGATTACTTTAAATAAAAAGCTATGTTTAACAAGAAATATATTACAATAATATTTGATTGACTACAAGGTTTGAGTCCTAAACAGCTGTACAATGTTTTTAATAATTCATGACTAACCAACTATAAATGGGCATCAGCTTCAGTCTGAAATTTCCCAAAATTGAAAAAGTGGGCAGAGGTTCTATTACCAACAGCTTTAATTCATTCCTTAATCCCATCTGTGACATCCTCAAAGTTTGCAGAGATGATGGTTGTTTCATTGTTTTTTTAGCTTGTCGGCTCATGAAAAGTTTTGTTGAGTTTTGATTTGATGGTGACATTACAGCTCTACCAGTTTCACGTCACCTATCACATTTGTTTTTACTGTATGACACTTTCCTGATGTTTTAATCTACTCAGTAAAGCGCAAAAAAGAATCAAGAGGGAAAAAAAGGTAGCCATTTTAAATCATTTGCATACACCAGTAAACTTCTTTAAATCAAACTACAATTGAGCCTCTATTCTCTCAGATTTTCTGTTGGAAAACAACTAACATGCCATTTATGAACTCTTAAAAATGTTTTCTCACAGGACACTACCTTGTGAAACGTAACAACAGTCATGCAATGGTGTGTATTTGTTAGTGTGATTGTGTGTGTCTGTGAGCTGGGGCTCACCTGGTGGATACCCAGGACTGCCTGTTTGATAGAGGTTGGGTGTGTAGGTGGGAGCCGTGGCAGGATACCCTCCTGGATAGCCTGCAAGAGGAAAAAATGTCTGAAAAAAAGTGCTGAACAGAGAGGACCAAAGACACACACACAGGTAGGCCAGTATTTGGTTTGGAGCAGGATGTGCACAGATGGCGCTCATTAAAAAAAAAAAAGTGTTTGGACCAATAACACAGTCGGCTGAATGCGTCTTACATACAGACGACACTCACCTGACAATATGGTGTGGGAGGAGATAAATCCAGAAACATTAGTGATGCACACGGACACTTGTGGGGAGGGGGCACACACATGCCACGCGTAGTCTTGTGCGTCATCAATTATACATACAAATAAGGTAGCTTTTGACCTGAGGAAAAGCTTTCAGTGATAAAAGGTGTGAGCTCGACACAGCGAGGAAAATAGGGAGGAAGAGAGGAGAAGCACGACAGAACAAAGCTCTCACTGCTGCTATTATTGGCTGTCAATCTCACACACTGTTCTGTAGCTTTGCACCTTTGCTACATGTAGCTTAGGCTGCTGTATGTGAGCCACAAACATGTGCAGCAGAGTCACACTATAATACTAATATATTTTTAAAAAGGGCTTTCATTATAAAAAATGTAGAGAAACTTGATTACATTAATTTTGTAACGCATGGCTATTAGCTCACAAAAAATTAAGTTGCACTCAATGGCCCTCACTTATCAATCTGGTGTAGAAACCAGCGCAGATGTGGGTGTAGAAATCATCGTACGACAGGGTCCACGTGGGACCTAAGAAACGTGCGTATCCTGCTGATCACAGCGTATGCATGACCGGATGTTGATAAGTGTGGCGGCTGGAAACGATCGTCATTTAAATACCACGGCCCTATATATTCACGGTTCAGCTATCCTCGCCCCCAGAGTTTACGGCATGGAGACACGTAATACGGCAAAAAAAAGAAACGAGATGCATGAGTGCCACCATAACAGAGAGAAGTAAAGAGGAATAACATCGTGTTGTTTGGCAGCCTGAAATGTTAAGAGCTTCAGAAGAAATGCGCCTGCATGAAATAGACTGAACTCCAGTGGAGTTTTTAATAATTAATTTAAACATCTGTGATATGTAACTTACATAATCTAGGCTATCATATAATAAAATTTTTATACTTTTAGTTTAAAAAAAACTGGTCAGACCATACGATCGCTACTATATAGGCTAGTTTTGCGGGTCTTAAAAGAACCAGCTCCCGGACCGGAGGACGCCAGCTGGACCCCACCTGAAATTATCCCAGATCCAGGAGCGAGTGGCTTCTTTCATCAGTCAGCCTCAATATCAGGCACAAGTGGTACAGGCGAGCCTGCATCTGTGTCGGCTAACTTCCGCTGCACTAACGGGCTCCGTGCTCGCCATTTATGAGACTTTCAAAGAGATGAATGAAAACCTGAAACGTCCTGCAACAAATGAATAAAGAGTTTGATCAAACGCTGTGTAATGGGCACTTCTCATCCGATTAGCCTACTTTCCAAACATAAGAATTTAACACTTCCATACAAGAAGGTCCTGACTCTGTCTTACAGGCCCCAGATTTCTTTATTCGTTATTATGTCACATGTAGTCTCTGGCCTATGTGCGTCTGCTGTGCGCAATTACGCATGTGGCACATCAGCGTATTATTGATGATTTAAATCTCCGGACATACCAATTAGTTATGATCTAATGTCAATGTTCTGAATTCTTAAATATTTCATATTTCAGAGGCTAAAAGTTGTATTTAGTATCCTCTGGAAGTTTTTACGTCCTTTTGAAGTAACTGTAGTTTTTCTGTTTTAATTTGTCTCAGTATTTTCTGCAGCGATATTCCTGTGCGCATGAACGTGTAACATGTAGGCCTAATTACCGAAAGCAGCCTCTCTAATCTTTAAAGTAAATTGATTAAACAAACATTAATTCATCAAATATAACACACAACTAAAGAAATCACCCGACAGCTCACGATGCTCAACATTGCTTTTTAAATAATGTAGTCTACAGAGATCGTTAGAGGTGGAGCGCAATATAAAATTCATTTTAGATGCAATATCTTATCGAACAGTAAATCTGTGAACCTCTATCAGCCTTTCTTAACAAGCAGATTCGCTGCATCGCAAGTCCACACTGAGTTGAAAATGTGCATACACGAACTGAGACCTGGAAGTGGGATTTGAACGTACCCTCCGCTCACGTCCAAATTGATAAGTGACGAACTTTGCGTGGAAATTACCGTACAACCATTTTTCTGCAGTACGTACGGTTGATAAGTGAGGGCCATTGTGCTGTAGTGTATCTTATTCCTTTATTCAGATCTCCGTCAGCTGCCACAAATGCAGCAGATTTTCTTCCTGGGGTCCAGCTTCAACTCGGCATAAAAACAGACCAATAGTTGATTTCATTCAGAACAATGTCAATTATTGATAAATGTGGAGAGTGATTTCTTAAATTAAGTGTAGCTTCTCAGTCATCCAGGTCATGGTAAACTAAGACTTCTGCTCGCACAAGTACAAAATTAAATATCTATATTTATTACAAACTGTAAGAACTTAACTGCATGGATGAAATAATCCTATTCATTCTTTTAGTTCACTTACATGCACAGCATAAAGACAAATAGTCTTGTTTTAGACATTTTAACAGGCTGACCTGAGGAACATTCAACTTCTCTGCAGCATTTGACACGCTGACTGTTCGTCGTGTCTATTTGTCTGCCAACTTGGAAGTCTTGCTTATGTGGTTAGTGTGGAGACACAACAAACTGCAGCAACATGATATTACTTAGTGAGAGGGACTCTTTTACTTTGCTCTAAGAGAACAAGCAGTTGAACTACTGTTCCAGACTGAGGACAACTTCAAGACTTAAATATATGAACAAACAAAGTACAGCAGCTGTATTTGAAGGTGACTTTGTTTACTAAACATCAACTTAAATGTGCACTATTGACATATAAGGGCTCAATAACATTATATAAGGGGTGTAATAACTTTCAGTCGGATTTGTGCGCAAGAACATTAAGTTCCAAGGAAAATTTGGGTGATTTAAATTGCTATATCAAGTCCCTGATTATCTGAGAAAAAAAACATTTTGCAATACACATTTAGACTAGTAACTGTCATGTACTTTCCATGAAAATGTAAACTTAATTAGAGTAAAATCACCAGCTCCCTCGTTTTACTGCATTAAGTATTCTCTTTTAACACATTAAACTTTGAGGTTAGTACATTATTTATGCTTTTTTCCCCTCGCAGTTCAGAGAAGCTGGAAAAGCAACATGTTCTTAACTTGCTGCACTGAACGCCTGTGCTAATGTTGTAAACAATTGCATCTTAAGGTCATGGTCAAGGTTCACACTGTGCTCTGCACAGAGAATCGCCTCTGCTTCCTCTGTGGGAGGTTGATGTCACTCCAGTCGGGGAACAATTATCTCCCACCTTCTTTACCTGTTTCAAATGCCTTTTATCCTGCATCTAACTTTCACTGAAAATGCCAGAGAGGCTTTCTATCTTTAAAGGCATGTTTCACTGGTTTGTGTTTATATTTACAAGTGCAGTCATAATTCAGGGGCAGAAGATGTTTTTATTATTGAACACATTAGATTTGTGTGACCTATTTCTGTAAAACTCCCCACTTTAAGTTAGAAACTCTGTTTGTTAGACAGAAAATGTAATTTCTTCTACAACAAGCCCATGAGGGACATTTGTCTCTCAGAAACACGTTAAAAACTGTTTCAGACCTTTTCGTATTTTTGTGCTGAAACTGCCTTGGAAATGTTTACATTAAGACCTACTGTATGTTGTTAGAAGAACAACAGTAAGTGTACAGTGAGGCTGTAGCACTACTTATCAATTCCTCTAGGAGACTGACTTTTTTATTGGTTTCTATTTTTCTGTTGTGACACTTACATCGCCTATTATTATCAAATTCAGAGTCAAGAACGGGAAGGTAAGCCAAGAACCACAGGAGCTTGCGGCTTACAAGATCTGTCAATAAAAACCAAAACTCTAGTGGTCCTTGAACCTTGATGTGGTGCTTTGAACAGGAATCTTTGATGAGGAAAGGTTGTTGTTGAGTAGATAAGACGCTCATACAGAGCTGTCATTGTTGTCCTGATCACAGGAAAGTCTGAGCTTGACACCCATGTAAAATGTACAAGGCAATGTGAGCAGCATTGGTGCAGCAAGGACCAGTGAGAAGAAAGTCGTCGTTAGATGGACCGTGTTCTGACAATGAGCTGCGATTAGTCAGTTAGTGATAAGAAACAGTATTCAATCAGCAGCCTGTCAGCCGATTACAGCGGAGGCGCATGACTTGCGTGTCCTGCATGAACTAACGAATTTTGCATAGAAGGGGCCAACTTCTCCCCCAAATAATGCATAATGACTCTTGGTTCATTTAAATATGTGCAAACAGCACAAATGTACAGAGACACTGTGATGCTCAGTAGTGCATGTAATGGAGCATTTAACCCTATGCATGTGTTTTTTAACTCAACTGACTTGTCTCATTTACGCAGGTTTAGCTAGGTCACCACTGTTTCAACTACCTGCACATCTAAACAGCTTAGACGAGTACCCATGTGCACTGTCTTTTGACATGCTAGTTTAACTAGCCAGTCATCACAGATTTTATTTCAGAACTTTAAGGATAAAAACGTATTAGTAACGGCTCATAAACTCAGGTTTCCACTCATGTTGATAATGTTTTACCACTTAAGGGACCTACTGTAGTGAAATTAAGTAAATATTTTCTTTGGAAAAAAAACTTTCTCATGGCAGCTGCCATTATCTTAAGACATCTGTGCATTCCTCTACCAGTTAGGTCCTGTTTTTTCTATGAGTAAGCAGTCAAAGGTAAACATTGAAATGATTTCACCATAGAAAAAGATAAAACAAATTGATGGCCAACAAACTATGGCAGCTGTATTTTCTGCTTCTTACCTCTGCACCAGTTCCTGCCTCGGCTGAGCACTTCAAGTAATTCCTCAGTATTGTCTCTACCTACCTCTGCCTCCTCTTCTCCTGAGCCAAAAGCTTAAGAACAATTGCCACCCTCTGCCTCTTCGCAAAATAGCTGTGCTTTTCAGATGACATTTTCATGTACTGTGACGTTTGTACTCAATACAACAAAACAGGCCTGCCTATGAACAAATCAAACAAATGCACCAACGATCTGCATTTCCACCCTCACTTTCCATGATTTATGCAAATGTGACAGTTGTTGTTTAATAAACTTTTCAGATTTGGAATTTTGGTCTTTTTACTCTTTCCACTGGCCTGTCTGTCCATTAAAAAGGCACAAAAGTCCCAAAAATAAATCTTTAAAAATAAAAAAAAATGTGTGTGTGTGTTTGTTAATTTTACCTGCAAAGGCCATGTTCTTGGGGTTTCCATAGGGGGTGCCAGGCTGAACAGGGCTGTAGACTGGATTCATAGCTGAAGATAACCTGTTCTTGCTGAGAACAAGAAACAGACAGTGTGGCAGGAGGGGCAGGGGGGGTGAAAGAGAAGAGAAACAGAGGGGAAAGAGAGGTAAGCCGTTTAAATCGCAAAGAAATGGTTAAGATTATCAGGCATACACTCACACACACATAATAATCTGAAAACTCAGCTTCCTGAGGCGACATCCAGCCGAGGCATTCTGACAACATGCAACAACGGGAATAAAAATGAATACTTATAACTCAAGTAGGCTCAGCATAAGCAGGTATTTAAAACCAGCAGGGGAAAAAACAAAACAAAACAGGAAAGCACAAGGACGCAAAGATCCAGTGAACGCCATGTGGTTAAGTTTCCTGTGTGGCAGTAAAGACATCTAACTTAAAGTTGCCTTATTTTCACTGCTGCACTGGCATAGGCAGCGTGAGCTCTACACGCCTTGTTTCCAGAACCGGACTGAACAAAGGACTGGCCTCTTAAAATTTGAGATGTTAGAGATGGTTGGGGTGAAGGTGCCTATTAAAAGAGCTATTTAAAGTACCGCTCTGATAAACCAACTGACCCCAGTCTCATTATGTAAAAAAAACAAACAATAAAAACACTGAGTGTTCCCTTCTTATTTCAACTTACCTGCTCATTGAGAATTTGGGCATGTGATATTGTGTGTGTGTGTGTGTGTGTGTGTGTGTGCGTGTGCATGCGTGCCCCGTACCTCTTGTGCGTGTCTGGTTGATACATGAAACTGAATTTGTCTGTGGGATGCCCGCTCGCCATTCTTGCTGTATGCAAATGAGGAAGGAGTGGAAGTGGATATGCAAATCTGAAATTAAAACAGCGAGAGGTCATGATTACAATGAACACAAGAAAAAAGGGGGAAAAAGAAATAAAGAAATCAAGAGCAAAAAGCAAGCACCAGTGCAACAGCAAATGGTTAGTGACAGCAGCAGGGGGCTGTGATTTAGACGGCGTGTTGGGAGTGAGTGTTTGTGGTGACTGCTGTGTCTAAAGCCAATGATAACAGCTAAAAAGAGAAGGTTTGAGAGAGAAAACTAGTCACATGCAAGCTTCTATTTTGCTCATAGAATCCCTTTATACAATCAGTTGCTTGTGTGTACAAAACAAGTACACATGACTTGCTGGTTCATGAGTTAATATTTTATTCATTTTTGTATAGGGCCTATATGATGCATGTCAAAGAGAAAAGTGCAGCTCTAGTATGAGGAACTAAACATCTAAAACAAGCAGCAAAGCAAACATTTAAACAGCCAAATGAAAAAGCACAGAAACCTAGTGAGCGGGCAGGTGACTGAGAGCAAAAACAACTGGACACAGGACAAAGTTTTGGCTGAGTCTTGCACGAAGCCACGAGTAAGCATGATCCACATAATCCAGAACCACAAGAGTATTGCACAAACACAGAGCAGAACAGATAGAGAAAAGGTGTGTATGTGTGTGTGTGCTGCATGGAGTTTTGATTTCTTGTGTATCATGTGTTGATTTTTTACATCAGTTTCTTAAAAGAGACGGGGCCTGGTGGGTGACGGCAGGGATCAGGCAAGTTCTATCTGGATTTTATGCATGACTTTGTCTTATGACATGCTAACACCAGGCTGCGTGAAATATGTTGTGGCAAGCAGTCTGTACACAGCACATCACCCACACGATCATCGTGTACAGACGTGTCAACACTTATTTGTCCAGTTCTGCTTCCTGTGGATACGTAAATGGGGTTGTATTTTCCTACTTCTATCCAACAATTTTATCCTGCGCCTGTGCTTCAGGATCTTGTCACAAAATCCTTTAGAGGGTTACAGCTTCACTGTCATCATTTCTAGGCATACGCTGCACCGCGATGATGCCAGACGGCACCAAGTGACACTTCAAATTAGGCAAGGAAGTATTTCAAGCTCCGTCCAGGAACGCTGGAGTCCCAAAGCTACAAACATTTGACACCAAAAGGCGAGCAAATACATGAGAGCAGTGGCTTTGAAATTGTTTTTGTGCATAATTACTTGAAAAACTTATGAAGGCCCCACAAAAAAAGAAACACTATCAAAAACCAGAGAGTGGTAAAGTGTTTACATTGGTTCATTATTCATACTTTTAAACATTTATTGACCTACAACTTAAAACATCTTTAACTAAATTTCTTATTGATCTATTGTACCTCCATATATTGTATTCCTCCCAAACAGCCTACTCTGCCTTTTTCATTTACTTTGCAAGTAAATTTCCTAAAATCAACCATCTGTATCTCTTCATGCTAATTATTCAATACAATGAGATTAACGTAAAATAATAAAATACACAGCTGTTTGCATGTTGTTATGCAGGAAATAAATATTTGTTGGGTATTTGATTAAAGGAGCATTATTATTTAATATTGGAAATATAGTATATAGTGTATTCAGGAAAAAAATATGTTATCCTTTGTGTATCATCATTTTCTTTTCTTATTGGCACAAATTTTAGAAATTTTATGGAGGTTTTCAAAATCCTTACCCACATTTTAATTAGGTTAATCATCAAATAAAACTGCAACTAGACATGGAAAATGTTTCTTCTAATAACAGTTAACAGAATCCAGTGGGGGAGAAATGCCCATTAACACATGGACAGGTGGCTAACCTAACCCTGATGCCTCACGCTGCATTGACAACACATCCCCAATACAGCTGTTCCTGAAGAGAGCCGAGAAAGACACGTGCCCTAATCTCTTTCAGGCTGAGAAACAGACAAGTTTGTGTATGTGTGTCTGTGAGTTCAGGTGTGTATTCAATCAAAAGGTGAGAAAACTGATTGGGTGAGAACAAGAAGGGCACCACAGTGTGTCTAATGATGGGGTGTGTGGGGAACAGATGACGGCAGGATTGTGCGTGACGATCAAGAGTGTCTAAACACGTCTCTGCCTTTAGAGGGAGGTGATGATGAGGTGCTACAGAATCTCTACATAAATAAAATAAACTCCTTCATTATTTGGGGAAATATATGTATATTCCTTCAGTACTGCAGACCGATGTTAACAGCTTCACCTCTGTTTAGGCCTTCAAACAACTATCCACATTCAAAATGTGCAATTTACTTTTTTAATCATTGATTAATGAAGAGCACCAAGTAATGATTCTCTGTATTGTGCTGATTAGAGTCTTGATCCATTACGGTAGTTTGCCTATACAAGAACACAGTGAATTTCAAATTTCCCAGAATCTTTTAAAAATTAATATTATGACAACCCTAGTGTTAATATGAAAGAGCTGCAGATTCATGATGACTCTTATCTGTTACCATTTAAATGATAAAATATGGATTTATGTCTTTAGACTTTTTTCTCCTTGACACAAATGCACCCGACTTCACAGACAGCCCGAGTACCGGTAACTGCAGCTCAACCCCCCCTCCATCAAAGTGTTGCTGCTCACTCTGGCAGTGATGATGAAACGTCACTTGATACAAAGTGTTTTCACCTATCTGCAGAACGCTCAAACACCTTTCAGCAGGTTGTGACATTCACACCAGTGGTCCTGTTACCACATGCTTGACTCTATAACATGCGGTAACCTCCGGTGTTGAAAAATTAAGCCAAAGCAAGAGAAAGCAAAATTGTGCAGAAGCATCCTAAGTCACATACATTTTTTCTGCAGGTTTAAATAATTAAATTGGTCTGAATAGCTCGTCTTTATCAGCACGCACTGTATGTGGGGTGAATCTTTTACAACTTAACACTAATCTGATTTGATGTTATGAAAGATATGGGTTATTCATAATAAAACACGTGGCTGACCTGACTGAGGAGCGGATGCAGTGTAGCCGTTTGTCAGGAGACTTAGACCTGCCTCAGCTCCAGCTGTTTGCCTGTTTTTAGGTCGACCAAAAGATAAGTTAAGACAGCATTTTCAACATGGTGACTGCCAACAACAGGCTCTAAGTGCCCCCTTCCGTAACCAATGGGCAACGTCACTTAGGCTTTGTCCATGTTTTCATTACAGTCTGTGCTCTATATCAGCATCCGTCTTCGACATGGAATTGATCTTTTCATTAATTTTAGCTGCTACTTGTTATTTCTTCCAGATTGGTAGCTGAAGCCGGGCTAATTATGCTTGTAGTGCCTCACGTTCAGTGGCAACACACAGAGGCTGAATGGCTCTTCTTCCTCAAGAAAATATACAAAATAACTTGTTTTTCCTCAGTTAACCTTTCTTGTTTCATCAAATCGAAGTTTTTTAAAGCTAAATACAAACATAAAAGCATTACAAACGTATCTTGGAAAATGTAGTTAGAATTAGCCTATTTCTTATGATTAAATCATTGACAAACTTGTTTCATTTCACATCAGCTGTAGCTGTTCCCCTTCAAACTGACAACAGATTGTGTATTTGGAGCACCCTCGCTGTCACACGCACTATACACATCAGGCATTCATTCAGTATTGACTGACATTATTAAGGAGAGCTTCCTGGCTTAGGCTGAGTCATTTTTCTGGACTTTGTTAAGCTCAAACTCTATTAGTGAGACTTCATTTGGGCTGAACTCATAAGCTGTAGCCTCAAGGCCTAGCCACAAACATGCAGCTTGCTAACGTGCATGCTAACATTACTGGTCTATGATGTGTATCTCTTTAAATCTTTTGTGTGAGCTCAGTGGGATGTCGGTCGGGTCTTGCCTTTATTCAGATCTTGAACGGTTAAGCCCTCACATTTAATTGTGCATACAAATATATGTGTGTCTCAAAACAATAATGTTGGTTCTCTCCATAAAGGGAGATTCCTGCCGCCTGGGGGGACCAGAAGAGGTAATAATGAGGGGGAGGGAGGAGGAAGCGGCAGCGGCAGAGGGAAAGATTGGGAAAGAATAAAACCTCAAACACACACAAAGAGAGCTACCATTCCTGGAGAACATGTACAATACAACACAACCCCCACACCGACTCTATCCTCCCACATAATACCTCACCAGGCATCTACTCTTTAAGCAACAAATCAAAACCGGTGGGCGTCATCACACTTCAGCGGAGGAGAGAATAGAACTGAACAGCTTTCTTTTTTTTTTTTTTAATCCTAGAGAAGGCAGCGTTTCACTCGAGTCATATAAAAAGCAAACAGAGAGAGAAAAAACAGGAGACAAAGACTGCTGATTGTAATGTGGTGCGTCTATAGTATTTCTAACAAGAACAATCATGATTCAGAATACCAGGACACACAGTTAAATGTGTCAATTGAGCACTTAATTTCATTTGGTCGCTTTTATTGTTTAGCTTAAAATTCAGCAGAGGTTCACTGAGTTCAAAGCTGAGAGTAGTCGGCGATTCTATTAGCAAGAATGCGTCCTTAATTAGTTATTGATCGACTTATTGACTTCTTTACATGGAAAAAAAACTGAATTCAAGATTCTTACTGATCTTTGGGGATTTTTTTCTCATTTATTTTTTTTACCTTTTTGAATTAATAACAATTTTTGTTAGTTGTCAGGCAGAACAAACTACTTTCGTTCTACATTTTAGCCTGGATTCCTGCTGAATGATCCAGTAAAGCCGTATCTCTTTCTGAGCCCTTGCAGTTAGTCTCCTTTAGAACCCCGTCAATGAGGATTTATTATACACATCCTAACTGCAGTATTATATCAAGCTAGATAAAAAAAAGGGGCCTGAAGGACAGCGAGCCGTGTATCACAATCAGAACTGACGTCCATATCCACATCAAATCAAAGGCAAAATTAATCTTTCTTTAATATTCACAGACAGTGTGATGGAATCAGAAAGGCCCCCCTGCCTCTACACACAATCAGACTTGCCCTGCAGCAGTGAGCCGCTCCAGGCAGCCCTGG